ATTAACCAAATAAAGTGCGTCTGAAACATTAAAGCTTAGAGCAAGTATTTTTATACTGATTCACTCAAACTAAGCTACGTCTAGTCTCCTTCAAAAGAAGGGTTCCACTAGATAATCAATAAAATACAAGTATTGTTTGTTTAGCCTCTTCAGGCTCGTAGTGAGTATTATAGACCACCAAGATCACAACCACTCCTGGTCCCAAGTATTCTTAACCACTTCTAGCTCATCAACTTCACTTGCAGACACTAGTATTCTTTACTCAATCACTTCTGGCTCCCAGTGAGTATTATCAACCAACTCCTGGCCCGCTAACTTCACCATTAGCGCTAGTATTCTTTGATCAACCACTTCTGGCTCTCAGTGAGTATTCTCGACCAACTCCTGGCCCGTCGACTTCACTCATCAACGCTAGTATTCTTTACTCAGACACTTTTGGCTCGCAATGAGTATTCTTTGACAAGCCTCTCCAGGCTTTACAAGTATTATTTCCCTAGCCTCTTCAGGCTTTACATATGATAGCTTAACTTGTTTGATTTGAGTGTTTGGGTTACTCTCATATAGAGGTTACATAAGGTTATACACTCACTAAGGTATGCAACCTTAGTCTTTGCAACAATTGAGTGTTTGGTCTACTCTCACAGAGAGGATACATAAGTTGGTACACTCACTAAGGATTTTGTTCCTAAGATACACATGCTTGGAACTCCTTAGTATATATAGAGATGAATACACTATGTGATGGAAACTTGGTGGAGAATCCGGATTGATGTTGAATCCTCTTCAAGTTCCTCCCTAGATCTTCGGCTCCTTGATTCTTCTTAAGCTTTCCTAAGGTCTCCAATGGAGGAGGAGACCTTAGAGCCACCACGGTTTGGTGGAGAACTCTCCCAAGAGACGCCACTCCTTGATGAAGAGATAAGTCTCTTCAATTCTCACCACACTCTTCTAGTGAAGGGATAAGAGAATTGGATGAATATCAAAGAGGTTTAGGGACTTTTAGAAGAGAGAAATCTAAGTAATCTTCATAAAATAAATCTCAATATATCCAAAAGTGTTTTACAATGAAGGAAAAACAAATATATAGGAGTAGGAAGCTTAGAGAGCAAGCTAGCCTTAACCATGGTTTACTAGGAACCATGGTAAGGTCTAACTAACCGTCCATGGTCTAGAGGCTTGGAGAGCAAGCTACTCACTTAGCTTGCTTGGTAAGCAAGCTAAGGAGAAGCTTGTGCTTCAAGCTTCTAAGCTTGAGAGTGAACAAGCAATGTGAACACAAATCAAGGTGGGTGGCTCATGGACTTTATTTTACTCCAACCGGTTTTGAAAAAATGTTGATTTGGTTTAGTTAGGTTCATCCAATGTGAATGAAACCTAGCTAAATCAAATCTATGAAAAATTAGGAGTAAAATGAGTCTAATATGTAAAATTTAGCCTAGGTCCATCTCTTGGTCCAATTGCTAGTAACACTCTCTAGCTTGCTAGTCACACTCTCTAGCTTGCTAATGCCACTCCCAATCCTACTACTAGAAAAATAAGAAAAGAGTGTATTTCTAGATTAGGTTAAATGGAGTCAAAGTGCCCAAGTAACCTACCCTAGAAACAATACACAATAGCTACTAAAAGGAAATAAAGTGCCTCTCAAATACAAAGGCAAAAATACACCTATACAAGTATCTACTATATACAAGGTACAAGAAACCAAACTATACAATGTATTTACAATAGAGACTCCTTAGATCAACCTTCACCCTTTTTGGTCTTACCTCTTCCAAAGGGATCCTTGGGGATTAGATTTCCATCACTATGGTACATTTGACTCTATACGCTCTATCTCTGGATTCGTTGCTTCGTGGGCTTGATACCACTTGGTTAAGAATGCAAGGTTAAATCCAAAAGCCAACCTTTCAAGGTTTGAGATAGTGATATATATATTGTCTTGTAGAATTTTCCTGTTGCAAGTGTCCGTTGAAGCAGATATAGTCGTTTATGACTAGTTTGATCTCTCATTTAATTCTCAAGATCGTTGCATTAAATGTTGCTTCCCGTTTATAGACCTTGCGTGAAGTCTTCTTTGCCTTGTTAGCAGCTATGTCTGAATTTAGCAGAGACCTAAGAGCCTTTTTGTCCTTTTCTGGTCACATAGCTATGGAGTGTTGTCCTTTTCAGAAAAAAGTGATGTACTTTTTCTGACACATGCATGCTTTTCCTTTTGCGTTCTTTTCTTCTTCTTCTTTTATCATGCTATCATGTTGAGAGCATTTAAGTGATTGTAGAAGATGCCTTGATTTTCATCTACGTTTGTTAGTCCTATGTGTCTCAATCTGTGATTTTCATCTGAGCATTTGAGTTTAATGCTTTGACTTTCTTTTGATCTGGTCAACATTATAGATAAACTGACTTTGTTCTTTTTCTGACGTGCCTTTCAATTTGTGTTGTCCTTTGTCTTATATGTTGTTGACATTCTTCTGTTCTGTGACTCATGCTTCGTCTAGTTCCTTATATTGCACTAAAGGTTGTCCTTAACATACCTTCGTCAGATATTGGACTCATAGTCATCTTGGTGCACATATTGTACTTTGTCTATTCAATTAGTTTGATTTGTCTGGTTCTCATGATGTGCCTTGCCTTGACTGTTCTTTTATCAGAGTTAGCCATCTTGTTTCATCCGATGTTTAATACATCTTTGTCTAGTTCCAAGTTTGGTCCTATTTTGGCTTTTCTTCTGATACTTCAATGTCTCAACTTGTAGTAGGCCTTATCTAGTGTTTGTTGAATGTTCTTTCGTCTGTGATCAGACCCAATCTTGATGCTTGACTAGCCATAATTTGATTCTCTTGTTTAGTTTGTCCAGGCTTCGTAGATCTCGCATTTAATGCATTTGATCTTGCATTAAATGTTTGCTCGGTGATATTCGGTTACCTGAAGTTTTTTTGTACCATTTGTTTACTTCTATGTCTGGGTTCAATCATGACCTAGACATCTCTGTACTTTCCTGGCATTTTAGCTATAGAGGCGTTGTCTTTTACTAACTGGTAGGTATACTTGCTCTGACACGTGCAACTTTGACTTGTGGATAAGCGCTAGTCCGTTTTTCTTTTCTCTCTTCTTCTATTTTGATGACTTCATGTGTTCTTCTAAGAGTGTGGATGCTAGGTAGTTCTTCTCCTTGTGACTTTATCCATAATCAGCATTCTTAGTTTTCGTTTGTGTATTTGAGTCTCCGTCTGGTCATCTATGCAAGCTCTTGACTCCGTCTAGGATGCTTTGATTTAGGTTTGTCCACCATCCGTGGTTTTGTATCATCTGAGGCTTCACTAATTTCCTTCTTATGTTGAGCTTGTTTTTGTTTGATCTTTTCATCTAATGTCTTGTTGCTTTTACCCTTTACCTTGGCTCGTGCTTTGTTCTTTATTTTGCGTTGTGACAAAGCAATATAAAAATATTCAGTATTCATCTGACTGCTCTTTACACTTCACCTGACTAGAGTTACTACTTCACTATGAGAAATATGAGTTTTGATACACATTATTTAACTTCTCCCTTCTAGTATTTATCTTTTCTCTACAATCACTTTCTATCAAAAGTAACCATGTAAAAACCTAAATCCTAAACTCGAATATAATGAAAAGTAGTACAATTAAAACCAAAGTTGCTTCAACCTGTCAATGGTCTTTATTTCCAAGATGTAGGATGAGGAAAATTTCTTTTTGAAGAACTCACTTTTCAATGTTGGAAGAGCTTTGATTCATGTACTCTTCTATTTAACTAGTTTCAATACCGGTAAAAAAATTCTTCTCCCATAACATTATAATGGTATTTTTGCAATTTTTAAAAATAATTTAAAATTAAAAAAAACCACATCATTATAACAACATCGACCAATTTGTAATGGACCAGGAGCAAACACCAAAAAAAAATGAAAGTGTTTTCAATTAATTTAATGTACTTTATAAAATAATATAGAGACTTATAAAATATTAAGAAATACTTTTTGAAAATCAAAATATTTCATAACTCTATAGTTATTTAAAATTATTTAAAAATTATTAATATTTATTGAATCAACTGATATTGTATTTAATCTTTGAACATCAAAATATTATGTTTAAGTCTTGAATTTAGATAATATTAAATAATATTTTTTATTATTTAAAAATATAAAGATAAAATAATCAAAATATTGCATCAAAATATTAGGTTTAAGTCTTGAATTTAGATAATATTAAATATTATTTTTTATTATTTAAAAATATAAAGATAAAATAATCAAAATATTGCATCAAAATATTAGGTTTAAGTCTTGAATTTAGATAATATTAAATATTATTTTTTATTATTTAAAAATATAAAGATAAAATAATCAAAATATTGCATCAAAATATTAGGTTTAAGTCTTGAATTTAGATAATATTAAATATTATTTTTTATTATTTAAAAATATAAAGATAAAATAATCAAAATATTGCATCAAAATATTAGGTTTAAGTCTTGAATTTAGATAATATTAAATATTATTTTTTATTATTTAAAAATATAAAGATAAAATAATCAAAATATTGCATCAAAATATTAGGTTTAAGTCTTGAATTTAGATAATATTAAATATTATTTTTTATTATTTAAAAATTTAAAGATAAAATAATCAAAATATTGTGTACACGAAAACAAGATATTTTGATATTTCTTTTATAATAAATATAGATTATTAGATCCACTTATCCTTATATAATTATCTTTACCCCGTTTTTCCTCATCCCCGATTATTCTGTATTTTATCTTTTACATCCGAATGTGATAATCATATCTTCAACACGAATGGTTTAGGTAAGTTAAAAATCTAAGTTTTAGTAGTTCAACATACATAAATCAGCTAAAATATACCGTTACCATAAAATAAAAATACTCGGAAACAAATTCTGGGAGTTAAAGGATTTGAATTTTCTGATTTCAAACTCAAACATAACTATCATTTAGTCCTCTTGTGTATAACAATTGAGTGAGTTTGATGAATCCATTCTTCTAGAGTAAGTTAAAATGGAAATATTAAACCTTGAGCAACAAAGTCCACTATGCAAAGTTGCACACACAAAAATAAGACATCCATTATTATACGTATGAGCTATATGTCTACTAGTAAACTGAGTTACTGTACAATGTTGACAAACCATAGAAGTATTGAGCAAACCCTATCCTATCATATATTCTACCTTCCATATTTTCTAGAGTTAAACAAAAATCTCTTAAATATTTATTCCAACCCTGAATAATAATCTGAGTTCATCTAGCATTTAGGAGCATGCGTAGCACACTCTTCATCTTTGGTCTTGTTTCTGGGGATGTATTAACACAAAGAAGAGCAATATTGAGAATTGCAAGCATCTGGTTTCTGACTGCTTGTGATGTTCTACTGACATTAAAATCAAGAATGTAATCATGGTTTGCCGAATAACGCAAAACCCACTTGACCAATTCCGTTCCTTCAGTCACTGCAGGTTTTCCTGTCAGAAGTTCAAGCAGAATGACACCGTAGCTGTAGACATTCCCAGCCATTGTGACAGTCATTGTGTATGCATACTCTGCCAAGAACCAAAGTAAGTTAAGAGCTTTGAGACACTAAGTGTGTGCTTGAATAAGCATTTCAAAAATTGATTTTGAAATGAAGTGTTTCTTTTTTCTTTTTTACTTTTTTATAGCCAGATTTTGAAGTGAATTAATCTATTTTTGGATGATTTTATCATAAAAGCAAGTTTGCTTGAAATTTAGTGTAAATTTTTCAACATAATACAGATTGTTTGGATAAATTTCTCCAAAAACACTCCTAAGAAATAAAAATAAGAAGGAAAAATAAACCAAGTTTCTCTATAAACTAAAATTAGTTTATGCATAAGCTAGATTGTTGAAGTTCTCTTATTAACTTCTCCAAAATCTTAATTTTAACTTGTGCATAAGCTAGTTTTAGCTTATGGAGAAACTTGTTTTGATTTTCCTTTTTATTTTTCCCTACTAAAAGTGTTTCTGAAAAAACTTATCCACATAAGCCCCAGAAATAATCACAAAGTAGAGATATGTAAATGAGATAGAGACAACTTTGCTTAAAATATTTTTGGAAGGTTGTTCACTTAGTAGAATTCAAAAACTATTTGACCCACATTGCCCCTACAATATATATAGTCATTGGTGGTGGATTATATGAAGTTAATCTATGAACAAAGAAAAACTAAAAGGGATATAAGGTTGAAAAGCTTTTTACCAGGAGGAATATAACCAACTGAACCAGCAACTGCAGAAAAATTCCCTGTACTCTTTGAGGGATCAATCACCTTGTAGTGTTCAATATCCCCAACTAGAGGCTCCTTGAGGGACTTCAGCATAATACTTTTACTTGATAGATCAAGAAGTAGTATTGGACTAGAGGCGAATCCGTGAAGAAAAGAGAGTCCTTGAGCAACCCCAACTGCTATACTGTATCTACTAGCCCAATCTAAAGAGGAATCCATGCTTCCATGAAGAACATCAAAAAGGGAACCATTTGAGATATACTCATATAGTATATAAGCAGAATCAGTGGACAGAACATAAGCCAAAGGAGTCATAACATTTGAATTGTTCAATTTTGCCAAGACTTCTAGCTCTTTCCCAAATTTATCATGACTTCCAATCGGCAATACCTTGTCAGACCAGTTCAGTTTCTTGACAAAATAGATTGATCCCGATGGCATGACGGCCTTGTAATAAGTTGAAAATCTTGTTTTCAGAGTAACATTTGATGATTTAGCAACAGCTTCCATTGCTTTGGAGAAGTCAATGCTTGACCTGTGTATTCCATTAGGAGTTAATACATTACTTTGGACTACCTGAGGATGCTGATGATCTTCTGCTGACTGTAAATGCTCGTCATTAACCCTGTAATAGTGTCGTGACACGGACACAACCAGCAGGGTGACTAGGCCAACAAGAAAAATAGCTGCTACAATTGCAATGAGAATTGCAACAGCAACAGATATTCCCTTCTTAGTGGAAGTGTTGAGTAATGGGTTGTCCTGGGCAGAAGTATTTTTCAGATAAGTTCCATCATATTCAACATGCACGTGTTGACTAAAATTTGGAATTTCACCAGACAGCTGATTGTTAGAAAGTAACAACAGTGTCAAAGCTGACAATTCTGTTAGATAATCGGGGACTGGACCAGTAAAATTGTTATTTGAGAGATCCAAGACTTCCAGACTAAACAAAGTATGAAAACGGTCAGGAATAGGACCACTAAAGTGGTTGCTACTAAGATTCAGTGAAACCTGCAGACTGACTGGCATGCTTGGAATCTCACCACTTAGCTGGTTTTGCCCAAGTTGAAGCTCTAAAAGAGATTTTAGGTTGCTAATGAATGTCGGTATGGAACCATTCAGATTGTTGCTTTGCAAGTGCAACATAGTAAGACTGCTCAAACTTGTTATCTCAGATGGAATTGATCCACCCAGAGAATTCGAGCTCAAATTCAGCGTTGACAACTTAAGAAGTTGGCCAAATTGATATGGGATTGTACCACTAAGGTTGTTTAATTGAAGCTTCAAGACTTGAAGATTGCTAAGATTACCAAGCTGTGGAGGCAATGCACCACTCAAGTCATTCTGAGCTAAATTCAGCAATGCCAAATTCCTGCAAGAACCCAAACCAGCCGGTATTGATCCGATGAACTCATTGTCATCCAGCTCCAAGTATGTCAAATTTTCAACAGTTGCAAAACCATCTGAAGGAATATTTCCACTCAGATGATTGCCCCCAAACCTCAACCTGAACAAGCTTGGAGAAACTTTTGTAGGTAATGACCCCCTTAAATGATTATTGGACAAATCTACAACCAGCAACTGTGATGGAGATAAAAGGTCTTCTGGAATGGGCCCAGACAATTTATTAAAACTGAGATCCAAATTTGTGAGATATTTTGTAATCCCAGGAGGTACAGAACCTGTGAAAGTGTTCAGATTTGCTGCAAATCTTGAAAGTTTGGTGAGGTTCAAAAGTGAAGTTGGAATTTCTCCAACGAGTTTATTAGAGGAAAGGATCAAAGTTTCCAATTTAGAAAGCCTTCCAATATTGGTAGGAATAGACTGGGAAAGTTCATTTTCCTTAAAATCAATCCCAGTCAAATTTTCATAACTAAACAATTCATCAGGGATTTCTCCATTAAAGTGATTGTTAGAAAGCACAAGCCACTCCAAAACCATGGACTTTCCCAGTTTGGTAGGAAGAGACCCCATGAACTTATTGAAACTAAGATTCAAACTTTTGAGGCTAACCAACCCATCTAACTCTAAACCAACCCTCCCTGTCAAGTGATTGAAAGACATGTCAAGGGTTTCCAATCCATCAAAACCACTAAAAGTAGGTAAAACACCTTCTAAATGGTTTTTACTGAAATTCAACAGCTTCAACCCCTTAATCTTCCCACACTCAGTGATGAAACCATCTGGGATTGAGCTCAGACGGTTGTTAGAGACATCAAGATGCTCCAAAGTTTCAATTTTGCAAACAACAGGAAGAAAGTCAGAAGAAGAGAGTGAAAACCCAGATAGAGAAACCCCTACTACGGAGGAATCGGTATTGTCACAAGTCACTCCCTTCCATGCACATGGGTTTGAGTCACTCCATGTAACAGGAAAAGCAAGACTTTTGGAGAGATTGGACATGGTTTCCGTTTGGTTTTGTGACAGCAGGGACAACACCATAGGACAGAAACAAAAGAAGAACATAATACTAAGAAAACAAGTGGGGGTGTACTCATACCTGCCCATGTTCTTAGCAGTGTCTGTTATTCAGTTTTGAACTGTGCTTATATATCCTTCACTTTTATAATATACATGCACTATCTAATTGGGGTGTTTTGGTGAGTATTTTATTTGATTTGGATTCAGGGTGGAGAGAACAAGAACATGGAGGATAGAGGAAGAAGAGAATGTTGGGAAATGTGTGCAAGAGAATATCTAGGATATGTTTGGAGTTGAAGGAAGGTTGATGGAAAGAGAGTGAGAAGAAGCATGGTAAGGTAAAGTGTTTTGGAGTGGAGTTGACTGACATTGCAGGTCTCTCACTGCACAAAGACTTGTGTTGTTTGTGACATAACATTGCACTCAAACAAGAACGAATGACACTGCCTTTTGTAACACGTTCTATCCTTTTTCTTTTCTAAAGCAAAAGCATTACCATTATTAGACCAATTTTATAATCTCCTCCGATATTGAATAGCCTAAAAATACAATTTCGTGGATGTTGGGTTTTACCTAAATCAATAAAAAATATTAATAAAATATTGTTACATACATTTACCCTAATTTTATGTTAATTAGCTTATAGTTATATATTCTTTTACAATAGCTTATAAATTACATGTTAGAGATTTTAACAAAATACTATCAAATTCTTACCTGTCAACCCTAAATATTGTTTTGGTCTAACAATACTCATAGACACTAAAATGTGACAATAAAAAAATCTAAAAATTAGACTGTTTAAAATAATAATACTTAATAAAATACTTTATCAAGTTTTGAATATAAGTAAAAAAAAATCAATTTACACTAATTAAAAATAATTATTTACAACATTTAATTTTGTTAACCTCATCCAAAAATAATTTTTTTTCTTAAACTATCATTTCTTGAAACTTTCTTACCAAAAAAATATTTTCTTGAAAAATGATAATATTTTTTTTTACTTATAAAACTGAATTCAGAATAATTATTTGTTTTTTATTTGAGATTCAATTTATATTATCTCATATACTAATTATTTTTAGATTAAAATATTTCTAATTACAATATATTAATTTAATTTAAGAAAATATATTAATTATAAATTATTTATAGAATATATATCTTAATTGATAAGAAGAAATGTGAATATTAATTAGAGAAACAAATTGTATAATGAAGACATACTAATGATTAGAATGTATGTTGTAAATTAGTTTTTCTTATTTTTCTCAATCAAATAAAAAAAATACTATTATAAATACACACATATCGATAGTATGAATACCACTAATATTTTCCAAGTAAACACTATGCAGTATGTATGTACACTGATCCTTCCCTAAATTAGTTCCTTGCACTTTGACTACGACCACTATATTTTTATTACTTGCAATTTTTCTCACTTCTTATACATGCATACCAACACTATTAATATTTAATTTTCTAAGGAAACAATGTATATGTTGTATGAACACTTATTACATGATTTTCCGTTTGCGTGATCCTTACTTGCTTAATTTATTTCGATGGACTTTGACTCTGAATACGTACTTGTCATGCTAGGACCCTGTGAAGCTAATTTATTATTCAAACACGCGTTTGAGGAAATGACTCGGAATGCGAGATCCTCGTAGTCCTTACCGTGTTCTATGGACAACAATATTTTGAAACTCAATAATTAAGACTTTTCATTTTTTTTAAATATTAGTATGAGTTATTATTTTTCCCCCTTTTATGAATATGATTCATTTAAGGGATGTCAAAATAATTTTGTATGTATCTGTGAATAAAAATCACCTATTATTTTTTCCCCTTTTATGAATATGATTCATTTAAGGGTATCAAAATAATTCGTACCTGGTTGTGGATATAGAAAAGAAATATTATAAATGAATATACGTAGGTAATATGTATGAACATTTTTTTTTATACCCATATGTTAATGGAAGAATATGAATATCATAATATTTATATTCGTATTGTTAATATTCAATTTATTTGTACTTGTATGAATTTTATTTTATTTGAACTTATAATAGTTAAGTATTGTACTTTATTATCTTTTTATTTAGATTTATGTATAATTAAAATATTTTCTTTTAATAACTATTGTTTAAACAGTAAATTTATATTATTAAATGTTTAAAAGCTAGTTTTTAAATTCACTTATTGTTTTTCAGTATAATTGTAAAAAATATTTGAATTTTAATTTTATAAACTTTAAAAATAAATTATGCAAATTTTATTTGAATTATAGTTAAAATCTTCAAACTTCTTTATGTAGATTTTATTTTATAGATTTTTATAATTTTTAAAAGAAAAAATGCTACAAATAACTAAAATGTATGGTTAAAATATATTTGTTTAATATTTTTAAGATACTTTTAGTAAATACACGTGGGTACCCATAAATATTTACAAATATTGAAAAGAATATGCAAGTATTCGCTTAACAGGTGCCCACACAAATATGAAGACAAGTGTGAAACAGATGTTTATTTGATGGAGAGGTAGGGGGAAGCTACTACCTATACCCACCCTACCCTGTTGACATCCCTAGTCCATATAGTATGTCAAAACCAATGTTTTTAAAATGGATTGGTTATTAAACTAGTCTAAATATTGGTTCAAGATTCAATGTTTCAATTGTGATTGAACCGTGATCAAATTGGTATTAATAAAATAATTATTATTATTATTATAAATACAAAAAATAATATTAAATAAATATAATATCATAGTTTTATAACACTAAAAATTAAAATAAAATGTTATTTATCAATTTTCAACATTTAATGTGATATAATATTTATGTTTTAAATATAATATAATATGTAGAAGAACATATGCACAAAGTTTTGATGATGCCAAAATATAGTAGAAAATAAAAGGTCAAGTTACAGCAAATTGATCAAGAAGCAAAATCTCAAGAAATAACTAAATTAAGAAGTCTTGACTACTTAACTTAATATGTAAAATGAACTTTTAGAAATTTCAAATTTTACTTGGCCATTAAAACTAGAATTTCAAGAAAATCTCAAATAATCTTTTTGAATATAAGAGTAAGTTTTTATATCTTTTTGAAAAGAAAATAAAAAGAGTGTTAAAAAAGATTTTACAAAAATATTTTTGACTGAAAATTAGAAGTTTCCTATAATCAAAAGTTTGTGTAACGAATATAGTAATCTTTGTCTAGTAATCGATTACCAGCTTAAGTAATCGATTACCAGACCTTGTAATCGATTACCAGAAGAGGGAACTTAAAAAATTTAGAAATCTCAAGTTGGAGACTTGAGGACTAGACATAGGTAGGATTGGTTGAACCAGTATAAAACAAGTTTGCAATTCTTCTAATTGTTAAGTCAGACGAAACGCATTTGCAATTCCCATCGAGGTTTTGAATATGACAAATATAATACCTATTGTTATTGCTGACATGTGCATTAGTGTTTCAGATAAATGAAAATAAGTTCAGGAAAAATGAAGGGCAAGAATGATCAAGCATAATCGAGTTGGATGAGACATCAGACGATGGCAGGAGTTAGTATCAAGACTAAGGTCTAATCAAAATACAAGATAAGACGAATCTATCAGCTAAAGCATAAGGAATCAGATGTAAGACCGAAATAAGCACTGTATGAGTCTAAGTGAAACATGGAATGAAAGTTGGACAGACATCAACATGAAGTGATGAAAACATCAGATAGAACCAAACAAACTAGGACACGAAGTTATCACTCTCAAGACCAGACGAAGAATCCTGTATCCAAAGGCAGTTGGAAAGTAATGAAGCGCGTCTGAAGTCCACTAATTACATCGAGTGAAATCAGACAAGAAACACAAAAGGACGTCAAACTAGAATACAATAAAGAAGAAAAATAGGCAAGCGTGGAGTTACAAGTCAAAGCTGCGTATGTCAGAAAAATGACACCTACTTTTCAGAGAAAGATAGCAACCGCAACAGCTAAACTGATGAGACAAGTACAGATATGCCTAGATTATGATTGAAGTCAGACATTGGAGTCCTCAACTACACAAAAGGATTTCACGTATTCCAGCAAACATTTAATGCAAGACAAAATGCATTGAATGAAAAGATTTACATAGCCATGAACAAGCCTCCATCTACAACGACATGAAGCTACGCTTCAACGAAAAAATTTGAATTCAAAAAAACGGGCAGCTTTATCAAATGGCTATAAGTATTAAGGCAAAGAAGAAGAAGTAGAAGAACATAAAAAAAACGTGCAATAAGAAAAAGAAAGCAAAAAAAGTACAAACTACTTTTCTTCTCAAAAAGCATTTCTTGTATATTTGTGTAAAAAACTAAGATAGCTTATCTTAGTGAGTGTTGCTAATAGTCTATCCTCTTTACGAGAGTAAACAAAAACTTAGACATTTATTCCTATAAAACTAACGTTACGCATCTTAGAGAGTGTAGAAGCTATCCTATCCTCTTTGTGAGAGTTGAAAACACACTTAACACCTTCATTTGCTATAAAGCCTGAAGAGACTAGTAGAAAGAATACTTGTGAACCAGAAGTGGTTTGAGAATACTAGCATTGGTGAGTGAAGCTGGCGGGCCAGAAGTGGTCAAGAATACTTGGAGAACTAGAAGTGGTTAAAGAATACTAGTGTCGACAAGAGAGGTTGACGAGCCAGAAGTGGTTGAGAATACTTGTAATACTGAGTAATTAGTGGAACCCTTCAGTTGAAGGAAACTAGACATAGCTCAGATTAAGTGAAGCAGTATAAACATTTGTGTATACCTTCTCCTATACTTACTTCATTTTCATCCATTTTCTTGTCAACAAACTGTTAGACGAAAACACAACTGCTTATCTTGTTTGAGAAACAATTCCTTTTATTGGACAATAAAATCTTTCAGACGGAAAGCAAACTCACCAAATTTGTTTCTTAAAAGTAGACTATATTTTGTTAGACGAATCCTCTTTACAAGCCTACACAAGTTTTCAACCGTGACTGAACACTCTATTCATTTTAAGAGAAAAATAGCATTGCAAACCAATTTTCAAAAATCTAATGCATATAAAGATAAAAAGAAAAGAATTTTGGAACTACTTGAAGAAAACCGTTTACTGAAAAATGAAAATGCAAAACTCTTAGAAGAGACAAAAAAAAGTTTTTCAACTTCAGAAGAAGTAATCAAACTTAATAAAGAGATTGATTTATTGAAATCAGACCTATCAAAATTCACACTAGGAACCAAAAATCTTGAACATCTTTTGAAACACTCCAGGAGTGGGAAAGATAGATCAGGACTAGGATATGTTAACTCTGAATCAGAAATTAAAAAATGAACATACGCATCTTCTTCGCATGGAAAGAACGGACATTTTACGTCCAAGTGCAGTCACATGCACAAGAAGAGG